ATAGACTCTATGCCATAGACTGAGAGCTGCCAGAACGAGGATTCCTGCTGACAAGCTGCGATTAGCGTTGCTGGGGTACAGGAATACTAGACAGAATTCGTCGGCCCTTTGAAGGTTTGAGGAATGGAGTAACAGTTTGGGCTCGAAGTGAAGTCTGATATCTGAACAGGAGAGGAGCGACCTTGAGTGCACGTCAAAGAATGCCATACGCAACGAGTGGAGAAACTGGAATGCACGTTGACATGCAGAATGCCGATACAGCCATGCTGGCTTCGGGGTCGTGTGCCTCGGCAATCCCACCTGACCTAGAACCCTTCCCGACAAGCCCTGCGCGCTTCGCAGGGCAATCCTAGATCATGTTGGAACTCGGTACAACCCGCCCAAATCCTGTACCGCGATCTCCTATCATCCCTCAATCAACTTCAGCTGTCACTTAATCCAGGAAGTCAAAAGTAATTATCCGCCAAGCTGCGAAGAGCTCAGCACTGGGGCACAGTGCGTAAAGATGGCTCAACTCCTGGAGCAACAACTGACGAGGCGATGAGGAGTACCCGCATGTCCTTCCTGCTGACATTGTCTCATGCCCGGTCGGACTTCGTGGAAGTATTGGTGACCACCTCGGTTGAAGATGCAAAACTACTCATGAAGATTCCTGTGCTTGATGAGTACAACTATCTGCGGTATTATTCTTAATCCCAGTGAAAAGACTGTCCAGTTGTCGTCGTCGTAATCGTCGGAGCAACAGCTGCAGCAGTAGCAGTGATGGTAGCGATAGTAGTAGTAGTAGTAGTAGTAGTAGTAGTAGTAGTAGTAGTAGTAGTAGTAGTAGTAGTAGTAGTAGTAGTGGTAGTAGTAGTAGTAGTAGTAGCAGCAGCAGTCGGGAGGAGCTGGTCAAAATCGCGGATACACTGAGGCAAAGATGGCCTGGATTGATACTGCGATGATCAACGACTAGACCCAAGAGTAACCTGGGAATAAAAAGTTTGCCCTTTTTGGTAAAAAAAAAAAGGGGACCTATAAGGGAACCTGAACCCTAAAACAAGGGAATAGGGGCCTACTCTAGGTCCTAGCAGCACTTGCAAGCGGGAAGGAGAGTGGCCTCCTGAACCCGAGAACTTCTTGAACCTCATCTCCAAAAACCGAAGGCCCTCAACGGCGGCAGTCCTCGCCGGCATCAATCGTCCGTTCTGCCACCATGGACAACCTGCGGCCGTCTTCGGATGGAGGGCTTCGGGAGAACGAAAGAATGAGGCATTTAGTAATTCGGAAGCTTGTCTGACGGATGTCATCTTGATGACGGTCCGCCCATCATCAGACCCAAAACAGCCGGAGGACCGAGAGACTGTGGACTGTGGGCAGGACAGCTTCGCATGTATGCGGTCTTGCATGTGCATGCGGCTGGAGAACTCGGATTGACTTCATCGACTCGGCCTTCACAGCAAAAAGTGAAAGAACATACAGATGCCGAGCGCAAAGTAGCTTGCTGCAATCCCAACACCATCGGACGCACATGTTCATACCCCCGGAGTTAATTATTGAGCTGACAGCGCTCTGACATCTAAGCACAAGTCTCTAAACTCCTAAGTTCACATTCCGGCTGAGCCGGCTCTCAAACAAAGCACCTGAAAGCCAACACCCAGACTACACCTGCTCTCAAACTGCACCTACACATCGACGACCCTGAGCCAACAGTCTTCGCCTTGGTCCGGCACGCGTGAAGCCGCAGCTGGGACCTAAAACACGCGGTGCGACAGAGTGTGGTGGAGCGTTTTCAACTCATGCAGGCGCATGGCCGCCACTGCCACTCCCAACGGTGTCTGTCTGTGTGCGCGTGTGTGTGTGTGTGTGTGTGTGTGTGTGTATGTGTGTCCCTGTCGGTCTGTGTTTCTGTGTCGGTGCGCTAAGATATACCTGCTGCATATACATCTGCATGAACAACTTGTGCATGCCTCACGTCTGCTCATATTGTCAGCACAGGTATTGCGAGATAGGGAGCAAGACAAGGCAAGAGACAGAGAAAGACAAAACCGTGGATATGCCAGCCTCTACTAAACCGCGTATAGCAAGAGGGCCCGCATCGCAAACATGCCTTGCAAGAGGATTGCTGAGGTCTTCCCGCTCAGGGAGCTGTCTCACAACGGAAGCCCGACAAACCACGAGCAGCAGTCCAGGAATACGGCAATTACGGCCAGAGCTTCGCGACCCAGGAAGCATCACAGGCCTGAACAGCCTTGTACCATAAAAAACTCTCTGCCCTCCCAGAACTGAAGAAGCACGAAGCAAGAAGATCTTTTGAGGCATGACACGACTACCATTCAAAACCGTACAACCACAATTTTCTCGCTGTTGGGCTCCAGAAGGAGCTGACCAGCAGTCCGGACATAAAGGTGACACCATATAGTCATGTAGTCTTTTCGAGTCTCGGTATACATATACGCAAGCCTTATGAATGTTCAGGCATGTAATTTGTGGCACTTCGAGGAATTCAGTGCTGCAAGACACGAAGCAGGCCCAGCCCCAAGGCGCATCCCAGAAGCACTAGACATACTCGTGTACATCCTAATGTTTCGAGCGTTATCTCCCGAGTTTAAACACAATTGCTGAACCCACCGTCGTATTATAAACTTTTCTCCTGCATCTCCTCTTACCGCAAATCCCGTCTCCCAACGTCTTAAGCCCGACATGCAGTGACTCAACCCGAAGTCCGGGAGCCTCCCGGGGAGAGCGATGGGCTGTGGTGGTTTAGCAGATCCAGCAGCCTGGGCTGTCTGTCTAACGTGACGTAAACTGAACTTTTAAAGCTGTGGAGCTTGTGGTGTGGGGTGTGTTGCGTCGTTGTGACGGTTAGGCAACAGAGAACATGTGCATTCCGGGGCTCGTGCACAAGTCTGCAACAAACAAAACTACTAAAGGTTGCCATCAATACTCGAAAGCATGCGAGCATGCCCAGATTCTGCTGAAGCTGATGGTGGTCATGTCTCTCTCAGTGTGTTTCTTGTTGGTGACGGGGACTCAGGTGCCTTCCTGTTCTCTCTCTTGAGGCGCCTGTTTGAACTCCAAGGACTACGGTGCCAAGCAATCAAAAGTTGTACATCCATGATACTGTCCGAAAAGGTGCAGAGACACATCCCGCAAGACTCGCTGCTGCAGGTGCGCTCCACTTACGGCTACGATACGCAGTTTTCAAGCCCGTTGATGCCCCTCACTTGACAAGTGATCCGTGACGAGTGGCTAGACTTGTCTTTGAACACTTAAACAGATCTGCACCCAAGGTCTCCAATTAAAACTCTGTCTACGTATGTGTATGTATATACAGAAAGATATATCGTATTATATCTCACAACATATACCACCTATCATCCATCATCTATCACCTAGCATCTATCATATGCCCAGATTCTGCCCGAAAAGGTTTGCACTGTGAAGATATAAATACATTTATATACACACCCACACCCACACATATGCCTATGTTATGGAAACCCATCGTAAGGCAGCCCCCATCCCAGACTCATACTCCTGAAAACAGGCAGGAAGAAGTCGGCTCCGAGGGACGGACACAGCGCCACCTCGTCTCTTTCGCCTCGGGTATTGGAACTCTGGGGTTAAAGGCTTGTTAAGGCTTAGAGGGTTTAGGGTGTAGAGTTAGGGCTTAGTTTGAGGTTCAGATCTTGGGTTCAGAGTGTTGGCTTTAGTGCTTTTACGCTTGCGGCAGCAGACCGCGTTCTGTTTGTCCTTTCGATACGTTCATGTACACACAGTGCTTGGGTGTGTCATGTAATCACGGTAAACTATACAGAAGTCATGCTTGCTCATTGCATTCAATACACTGCGACAGATGCGTTAATCTTGCGCGAACTCTAAGCCGAAGCAACTACATTCCGGTCACCTCAGACCGTCAGAGTTAATTATGACAGAATTTTGCTTTGAGCATTCACAAAAGCCCCAGACCCTCAACCCCGATCTGGTTTGAAGCAGACGCCGGAAATACCCAACCCGCTTTTAGAACCCTAAACTCCGATAACCAGAATGCCTATAGACCCTTACCAGAGACCAGGAAGAAAAACTCAACTTCGAGGCCCGTGGCTCGGAAAGGCGCGTGACTTGACTGTGGCGAGGGCCCACCGCGCCTCCTCCTGTGCCGGCGTAAAGGTTGACTGGAGTTATATACACAAACACACACACACACACACACAGTGACTGTATAAATATGCACACCCACGTGCAATACATTGACATAATGCATGTGTTAAATACGCAGGGTCAGCTAACGCGTATGTACTTTGCGGTAGTTATTACTTGCTGTGAATGAGCACCTAAACTAGAGGCAGACAAAATGAGTACAAATATGGTTTTTGTCATACTGTGCCTGCGAATGCTCGCGAGCATGACGGCCTGTACGTAAGAATTTGTGCATGTAAATGTATAAGCATAAACCCATGTAACTAGTGTAGATGGCTGTATGCATGGATGCCTTTGTGTGCGGAGAAGCTCGAACGTACGCATGCATCGGATGCGTGCGAATGTATGCATGGGTGGATGTATGCATGTGTGTGCACGTACGCATGTGCGCTCTTATGTATGTGCGTTTTGAAGATGTTGAATGTATGCACACACGCATGTGTGCATGAGTGTGCATGCAGAGAGACTCATAGCGGAACTGAAGTTTGGTGTTTTCAACGAACATAAAACATGTCACCATCTTCGCTGGGAATTGTGGGCCTGCCAGAAATTGGAGCAGGGATCGCGAACAATGAACTTATTGACACTGCAGGCTGGGGATTTTTGGGACTTTGCGAACGGCATATGTCGAGACTGTCTGATTTCAAGTATTCCCTAGCCGCAACTCCGCAACATCTGTTAAGAGCATGCATCCAGCAGCTTAGCTGATCCAGACAGGATATGCCAGAAAATGCCAGGAAGAAAATCAGAAAACTGGATAGAATCGTAGCAGCCCCTCCACTAGCCCTACAAGAACTAGAACAGCATGGTGGCCCTTATTAAGCAGTCTGCTCCTCACTCACCGTGAGGTCGTTGCGCAGGTGGTCGATAGCTGCTAAAGCACGCATCCTCAGCAGAAAACCGACACGAAGTGCAGAACTCGGATGATGCACAAGTAACGCAAGCAGAGGCCTTGAGATGGTTTCATTGCAGATTTGCAGGTGCCAGGGCGGCGATGTGTAGACTAGCTTCGAGATGTTCGCCTTATGGGGTGAACCATAGGGTTTAACGGAACAACTTTAGGAACCTTACGGATAGCTAAAGGTTCCTTTAAAGCAGATATGAAGGGTACTGCAAAGTCTCAGCCAGAAGACTCTGATATGAGGAACAAATGGTCGTCACAAGATAATGGCAAAGCCCAAGGCAGAGACCCATGCCAACACACCTTTTTGGAGAAAAGATCAGATTCAGATGACACTCCTCACGCCTCACGCCTAAAACCGAAACTCTGAAACGCTGCAGGATCCGAAATCGAAGCTGTAAGCCCGAACGAAGACGAAGCCTCCACATAAGCTCTGACTTGTGAACAATATTATTATAGATAGAGCCTCTACTTCAGAACAGTCCGCCTTGCTTCAATTGAATCAAACCGTACGATGGGAAACCTGCCACTTTAACTCTCACACCTGAATCACCTGAACCCTGTTGCGGTGGTAAGTAGTAGCAGCAGTAGTGGTAACTCCAGCAGCAGCAGGAGACGGAGGGGGAGTCGTAGCAATGACAGGGGGGAGGAGGAGGAGGAGGAGGAGGAGGAGGAAGAGGAGGAGGAGGAGGAGGGTAGCAGCAGCAAAGTGGTAATGCTGCTCCTGTTGCTGCTACCACCCAAGACAGTGGAAACGACCTCGGCACTGGCATCCGATGTCCATACACGCAACGAGAACCCCGAACAAATAGAACGTCGCACACCGCGCGCGACAAAGGGCCCACGCCCAAAAACCTACTCCCAAACGCTTCATGAACCAAGAGGTTTCATAAACAGCCTCACAATAGCCCTTACAGTAGCCCGTTATGGGGTCATGGAACTGTCTAGCACACCTCATAGAATTTAAGCTACAAGGTTTCCGAATAGACCAGCGTCCAGAAGCTCTCAACCCAAACCCTGAAACCTTCGTTAACCCGTCCGTTGAAACGCTCATCGGGCTCCAAACCCTGGAACCTACGATTAATCGTGAGTAAAAACATTGAGCCCCACATCTTCAAGCTTCACCCCGAATCCCTGGAGCCTCGCCAGTCGAACTCGTCGCAAGCCTCGCGGACTTCCCTGGAAAAACTCTTTCCACCTGCCCGGCTGAAATGACGAAAAGGGTTCCTATCAGTTAGGAATTTCGAGGGTTTGGAAATTTGATGATCCGGTGATTGAAGCTTTAGCCATGAGGAATATGGGAGTTTCCGAAAATAGGGGACCCTGATATAATACCCTAAACAGTACGATCCTCATTAGAGGGACCCCAAAATAAGCTACCCCAAAATTTCGGAAACTCCCATATCAGCAGAGTTGAGGGACGCCCCCCAGGTGGGGCTCGGGGACCTGAGGCTTGTGGTATAAAGGGGCTCCAGAACCCATTTGAGGGAGTCAGTTCTGGGAATTATGGTCTTAAACCCTAAAGGGAACTCCAGAAAGTTGGAATGTGGTTTCAGGGTAGGATACCTTATAATTTACCAGAGAAGGGTTAGGATAATCATATTCCAACTTTCTGGCTCTTACTGTAAATCCATCCTAAACCCTAAGCCGAATTGAACTGACGGTTGGACCTCAGGTCTAAGGTCTTCAGCATCTCAGGGGACCCTGTCTCCAGGCTCGTGTTGCTACTGTTTCTTGTACTTCTCCTGCTGCTGCTGCTGTACTACCTGTCGTCTCCATTGTAGTTCCTTGTTTGTTTTATATAACCAATTTTATATTTAGGACCCTATAAGTTAACTCTCAAAAGGAACTACAATGGAGACTTTTGGTACGACCACCAGCAGTACTCCGGTCACCACGCTGGGTTGCTCCACTCCCTGCCAACGACAAGTGACTTGTGCCTCGTCTGGTTGCGGTTCCGGGCTTGATTTCTTGCCGTGCTTGTATGCCACTCCATGTGTTGTTGAGCTTCGTGGTCAGGGTTGAGGATTGGGGAATCTTATCGGGATTTGAATGCTCGCAATAAGGAGCCTTCATGCAGACGGCTCAGTTTTTTCCCAGCTTGAAATTTCAGGCTTTGAGGGACTTTTGACTTTAGACTAGGCTACAATGAAGCACAAACCCGAAAAGACACAAACACCATGCTAAGAAAGCTATCCGCGGAGTACCAACCTGCGAGAAGCCGGCCACGTGGCAGGGTGCCGCTGCGCCGAGATGGCCGGAAGGGTCTCCAGGTAGGCCTACTTCCGCGTTCTGGGCGGGTTACCCCAATGTTGTCTTCAGTTTTGGCATGGAGCTCGGCTGTTTTGGTTTCTAATTCAGAAGGTTTCAGGAATTTCTGGTTTGCTGAACCCAGGGTAGACATCCTGAGCTGAGGCTCTGCATTAGACCTTTAGCTCGTGCGACAGCAGTACCGCACCTTGTGGACCGAGTCTGTCTTCGCCCTCTCCTCGGCAGATGCTTGGTATGTATGGCATGCCAAGGTCTGACACATGAATGTATGAGTACATGTGTATTACATAATATAAATATAAATAATATATATATATATATATATATACATATATATATATTCATATATATGTATACACCTTAATTAAGAGAGAGAGAGAGAGAGAGAGAGAGAGAGAGACAAAGGGAGGATGATGCATGCATGCCTGCATGGCTGTCTGTCTGTCCGTGTCGAATTCAGAAGCACACACACACAGAGACACACACACACACGCACACACACACACACGCTCACAAACACACACACACACACACACACACACACACACACGCACACGCACACGCACACGCACACGCACACGCACACGCACACGCACACGCACACGCACACGCACACGCACACGCACACGCACACGCACACGCACACGCACACGCACACGCACACGCACACGCACACGCACACGCACACGCACACACACACACACACACACACACACACACACACACACACACACACACACCCGCTCACACACACACACACAAGCGCGCGCACATATCCACATTTCTATATACTTACATAATTACACCTACCTATGTTTGTGTTCGCAGATGCGCAAATGCAAATGCAGAAAATCTTCACGCAGCGAATGAAACAACAAAACACGGCATGGAAGCTCTACCCTCTGAATTTTACCCTAGTTGAAGCCCTAACCCCTTGCACAACCCGCCATAAACCCTACAGACAGATGTACGAGTTTCCGAGAAGACAGGAGACTCCAATTTAGGCCGCTAAATCGCAAGATCTTTCTAAGGACCTCTATAGGAAGTCAGGCACCCTACTGTTAAAGCACTTTTCTGAACAAATCCCCCTAAACTCCTAAACCTCTTCATTTCTTGCAACAGACCTGGAAACCCTGAACCGCCAAACCCTCTAAGTTATAGAGCCATCAACCCCTGCAACTTTAGGCCGTCGAAGAGCTCTAAGAAGCGCGGCGGCAGCCGCCAGGTCAGCGGAGAGCTCGCTGCTTTCCTAGAGACACACATACGACATATTAAAGGGTTTAGGGTTTCGGCGCTCACACTCGGACGATGCAAGGCATTTCAAGGGTAGGGTGTAGGGTTCTTATAGACACTGGTATTGTTGTAGGGGTTACTGTGAAGGCTTCCGACAAGGGGTACTCAGAGAGGGTGTAGAATTCCAGAAGGGCTACCACGGCTACGATATTGGATTTGGGGCTACCAGAGACTGCAAACCCTGAATTCAGAGACCTCAGACTATATGGTGATTATAGTACCCCACAAAGGTTACAGCGCGACGTGAGATACGCTGCGTCCCCAGCCAAAGGCGTGAATTAAGCTCAGAAGCGTGGTGGGAAGACAACCGGCAACCGACGAGGTGTAATTCGTGGGATGCGATACGAATGGTTCAGGACTCGCACTCCTGGCACTATTCAGGAGTTTCGGAAATTAGGGGTACTTCATTTTGGAGTCCATATAATAAGGATCCTACTATTTAGGGTACAATATTAGGGTCCGCTATTTTCGCAAACTCCCATTAAAGATTCGAGGAGGTGTCGGACGTGGGACCCTGAGCGGCGGTTGGGTCGGGATTTCAAAGACGACCAAAACCAAAAAGGTTAAATTGTAATATCCTTAAGGGAGGGGGGTCCAAGGGGGGTATATAGCCTAGTGATCCCTAATTCTCCCTAGTACTCCCTAAGGTTCCCTTACAGTCCCCTAAGGATTCCTTATACCCTCCCCCCTTGAACCACCCTCCCTTAAGGATCCTATAATTAAAGGTTACCTACTCCGCCCCTAAGAGTTGATACAAGGTAGACAAGAACCCAAAAGGTTGAAGGTTACCTACTCCGCCCCTGAGATTTCTTACAAGGTACATTGCTTCATAAAGGGGTGTCGGAGCCTGGGCTGGGGCTTCTGGGAGCTACGGCTTCGGGGCGTCGGGTTCACGATCTTGCAACTAGGACTCCGTCAGACTACAACCTGCGTACAGACTGGAGTCCCTATAATAAGGATCCTACTATTTAGGGTACTATATTAGGGTCATCATCCCTACACCACCAAAGCTAAACAAGCAACCAAAGATTCTATGATGTAGGGCTTTTGCATCTCCACAACAATAGTCTGCGTTCTCGATGCTGTTGCAGCCACATCTCCCGAAACACTGGTTATGGAAGGTATCCGTATCTGCCAATGGTCCTGTGTCTTGTGCGGGTGCGCGTCTAAGAACACCCACGATCCTATGTCCTGAATGCCTTCAACGCCTGAACCTGAAACCGAAGCCCTTTACGGACAAACAACTCGGTCGGAAAGCTTTCCAGCTCGCCTCGCTGGCGCGCAGGCAGACTGCCCGTGGGATGGACACCACGAGCTCGCCACGACGAAAAGGCCGTTTGGCAAACAGCCTGTGCTGAGGGCTTAAAGGTTCTCAAGGCAAACCTTGCGCGCAGTGAAGATCATTGATCCCCGGCCCAACCAAGACACTTTGTGGTTGCAAAACTATACTGCGGACAATACTAAGTCCATGTTCTCGTGTGCAAAATCTCGCACAAGCAGCCCGTAGCCGGCAGCGGAGTCCGTGCTTGCACGTGGCTCCACATCCTGCAGACCTCTCATGAAATCGCCAAAGGAATGTCGACTTAAAACATAACGAAAACAGTGACAACCACATTAGCAAATACTCTTCTGACAGTATCAGACTAGCCAAGATGAAAGCAAAAACAATAGAAGCAATGATCACAACAGTAACATGTATGCACTGAAGAAACATCATATGAAAACAAATAGTCAGAAGGAGCCGACCCAAAGAAGCCCAAGATCCTTCACTGAAGGAGCCCATGGTCGTTTCTAGAGGAGCCCGAGGAAAGAGCTGTGGGGTAAACTCTGGAAGTCGCATTACACTGAAGTCTATAGCCAATATGAAGACCATGAACTCGAAACAACTTGAGATCTACCTATAGTCTGCATTGTGGTTCCTTTTTGGGGTTACCTTTTAGGATCCTTAATATAAAATTGGTTAGACCAAAAAGGAACTACAATGGAGACTATAGGTAGGGCGGCAGTGCACAGGCCTGGGCCCGCAACTCTAGCGGATAATGAACTCAACCAGGCAGCTCACGAAAAGAAGCAGGTGCCATCACACACGAACACACACACACACAGACTCACACACACACACACACACAGATGCGCACATAAAAGGTGCACTTTCATGCACACAGTCCTACATACGAGGATTCTGCATGGATGTGTGGCAACCATACGTGCATGCACCGAAAACACAGGCATGCAAACAAATCCTGCAGGATGTGGATGCTTTTATACTTACAATTTAAGAGCCTCAAGCACGGTACGATTCTTCTTGCGGCTTCTCTGCCCAGAACCAATATGACGTACAAGCACCGACTACCTCTGGCATTCAATCCCGGACCCGTGAAGAACTGAACCCCTATAAGCTATAAGCCTATAAGCCCTAAACCCCAATCTCAAAACCTGGCGCTGAACCCTTAATCATCCCTAAACCCTAAACCCTGAACCCCCAAACCTATAAGCCCTAAACCCTAAAACCTAAAAGCCCCTGGCCCTGAACCCTTTATCATCCCCTCCGGCCGCTGGCGCCACTTTGCTCCAAGTAGTCGAAGAGCTTAGAGAGCTCTGGCAGCTGGCTCAGGGAACCGGCCGCGCGTACTCTGAGCCTGTTTCGGTCGTCGGGTTGCTTAGGAATGAGACTTATCAGGGCTTGAGAGCTTCCTCAGGACGTACAGAGTTTTAGTTGAAGGATAGACCAGAGCTACTTGAGGGGGCGGGTTGGCCGAAAAGTGGGCAGTAGGTTAGGCTTAGTCGTGGCTCAGTCTAGTTGATTGTGGTATGAGCTCCGCAAGTGGCTTCTGACAAACAAACTGGCTATAGTCTCCGTTGTAGCTATCGTCTGTCCAGGGTTGATCTAAGCTGTCCCTGGATCTTGCCGAAGTGTGCAGCAAACCGGCGGCAACTATGCAACTCCAGGGCCGTAAACAGGTCAAGCTTCTCAAACATTCAAGCCTTCCCACATTCAAGGCTTCCCCTTTTCTCCCGAGACCCTTTTAAAGGGTTTAGGGAGAATTTGTGTAACAAAAACAAAAAATCCAGAGCTACCAAAATTGCCTCCCAAACCGAAAGCGCTTAGGGCCCTTGGCCTTGTCTTGACGCTGCGATGAGGAACCGGCCCTCGGCCCAGCCAGGCAAGGCCTTGCGGGGCAGGGTTGTTCAATGTTGTTCAGGGTTGTACAACTAGTATATCATATTGTATTATATGACTGTAGTATGGTATAGTATACAATGTAGTATAGTATATATTACCATAGTATATATAATATAGTCGGCTCCTGAAAGATTTAATAACAGGTATAGGGATTCTAGAAGAGTTCAGGAAAGGTGCCGTACTCGAGGGGTCTACTGAGGACTTATAGGGGGGCTTTGTAAAGTTTCAGAGGGTTCTAGAAGTGTTGTAGGGAAGGCACCGCAAAGAAATTGGTGTAAACACCCAAAGCTGCAACAAACGCGCATATGTGTGTGGAGGTTGTGGCGGCCATGGTGTTGAACGAATGTAAATCCCGGAGCGTAGAGCCTAGGTAGAAATCTGGTAAAATTAATCCGCCTTGGTTTTACTCCTACCGGCTGGAACGTCGGGGAAAGTATCTCAGGCATCGTGGTTTCGCCATTCCGGTTTCGAAATCCGAGAGCGCAGGCTTGTGTGATTTGTGGTGCATGGTTTCGACTTTCGCCCTCGGTAATTCCAGGCAAGCATTCACAACTGTAAGCATCTATGCATCTGGTTCGTTTTAAAAGTTGCTAAAACCATGTTTACACAGTATAATAGCTCAGGAAAGATTGGTGGTCGTGACACTACATTACATGCTCCAGGCTTTACGCTAAACTCATAGCTGCGACTCACCAAACACACACACACACACACACACACACACAAGGTTTAGGGTCCATGGAGAGATCGCACCATCAAGTCTAGGAGAAACACAAGATCGGAACCGGAAAACCCCAACCCTCCCCCTTTCAAATCCCACGCGCTTGCAGACGGTCGGGAATATCGAAGCCTTATAGAAGGTTTCCCAGGGCAAAAGCCTCGACATGCCCACTGCGGGGATGTTCACCACGTCGCGTTCAACTCCATCCGGCCTGAAACCATGGTCGCAGTCGCAGCCAGTAACCGCCGCTGCATCGTCGCAAGGGCAAGGGAGGCCCCCGTTTTCGGATTTTGACACCTACTCCCTGTGGCCCTGGGTCCTGGGCAGCTTTATGTAGGGCTTGGGTGTTCCTCCGGGCAGTTCTTTATGCATTTCTGCTGGAAGCCGGGGCGAAATAATTCTAAAATAAACTACCGAGAAAAGCTAGTTGCGGAGTTTCCTGGATTCCTATCACCATTCGCTCTTCATTGGTAATTAAATCGGTCAAAGAAGCTGTAAGGTCCAAGAGTAGAGATGACATGCAGCACTCCAGAGACGACGAGTGAAGCGTCGTTATGGTTGTCACCTTTCCATCATGCGGCGTTCTGAATGGCGTTCGGTGTTAGAGGCTCATGGGTCGAATATGCGGCTGCGAAAGGAAGTCTCTGACTCTTCAAGACAAGTTATCTGCCACCCACATGTCGGACTCAGGTTCCCTTTGCACAGCGCCAGTTTCATGAGATCTGACATGCTGCACACCTCTCCACCAAAACCCTTCTTGCCCTAAATCTCTCAAGCGGAATCCGAAGCTATAGAGGAAACCCCGACACCCAGAGACTCTAAGAATTCAGATGACATAAGTGTACATACAGCGTCCCCGATCGACCGGAGCGAGGCGCCCACACGACCCAGGCTCGCAAGGTGAGGCCGAGCTCGAGGAGCCACCCGAAACACAGCTCCCGAGGATATTGGGTCGTGGCTGAGGTCTTCCGACCTGCCTAGGCATGCAGCTCCCGCGACAGGTGAGAAGGGCGGCGGCAAGTCATCCCGTGTGAGCGCATACGATGACACGTATGAGGACGATGATCCCACGTATAATCCCTCTGGGTCTCTGGGAGTGTGACAGACGCCCTTGCCGTAACAAACCTTAAACTCCCGACGCCGACGAGCGTCTACTATGCTTACACCAGATTCCCCAATACGCTCAAGCCCAGGCAAGTCCCTGTACGCATCTGAACCTTGGGTACGGCCCACACTCAGTAATAGTTGAATGATATTCATAATATAGCCTTACTAGTAGCCCTATTGGAGACTCTTACTGTATGGGGGCAGTACCTCATCTAAACCCTTCTGCATTTCTCACTTTTTCCTCCTCGAGGACCAGAGCATCGCTCGTCTCTGCTCGTGCTGTGTCGTTGGCTGCGACGGCGACGACGACGAGGGCCACTGCGGCCTCCGCTGTGCCGAGGTCAGTCAGTGCAGTATATGCCCAAGACTCCACAAGACCCTGTTGCAAAACTTCAGACCCCAACCCAGTGGCTTGGCCCTTTGAAAGAACCCGTCTCGCAACTCCTGATAGACTCCGCAACGTAACCCCCCTTATAGTATATAGACCTTTCAGACCCTTCTTCCGGCCGCTCCCGGAAGACCAAAAATCCCAGTGACGAGAGCCGCAAACAGTGCCCTGGGCCATCGGCGATGGACCTCCTGAACGCTGGTGCTTCGGCTTCAGGGTTTGGACTCATCTCGGACGCTGCAGGCGAGGTTTGGTTCGACAGGGTACAGGTCGGCCAAAAGCAGCAGACACGTAGCTGCCGTTATGAAGCAACAGACCAGAGGCTACATCCCACAAGGAGCCCATTCGTGTCGACTGACAATACTGCAACTTCGTCACGAGAGCCAGTCTTACACCCATGCCCTTCAAAATCATCGGCCAAGGATGGGGCCATCAAGTGTCTAACAAAGCAACAAGCAAGCGAGGTACAGCGACCCAGTAGGTGCATGAGAGAACTTGTCAGAATGACAGGCTTTTCACTCACTGCAATGGCGCGTTGACAGCAGACAAAGGGTGTAGCTTGGCGAGAAACAGCCCTCATGCTTCACTACATGACGTAGCTCCTCATGGTCGCACGTAGTTTGGGCAGTTAGTGAGGCGGGTTTCTAAACACATCACACACTCATCGGGGAACCGTCTTTGGTCTTGGACTCCTATGCTTCAGGCGGCATCACTCAGGAGTTCCTTCTCTTTCGCGTGAGCCTTTGTCCATGCCTGGAATTTGCATCAGGCATACATCAAGCTGGTGAGATCGTAGTGCGTGTCGTCTGTGACCGCAAGATAGAGGATGGCCTTCAGAGTCCAAAAGCTCAAGGCCTTCCCCTGCGCCCTCCCCTCCGCTAATTGAGATGCCATTGCTAGTTAGTCTTACCATCATCACTCCGAAATTGGGAGTATGCTAAAACATGCAAGTTCCATAGAATACTGAGTATCCTCAGGAGGGCGAGGAAACACAGCAGCACTTCCAGTGCTAGCAGCAACGGGCCCCTCTTTGAACCGCTGCTAGCTCGAGCAAAACCTACTCACTGTTCGGCGGTTCTACATCCCATTTGGGTAAATAGAACAAAACGACTACAATGACCATAAAAGCATCGCCCCATCAGAATGTCGAGACCTCCCCTGCTTGCTGGCCATCATACAGGGCCATCAAGAAATCAACTCCCCGGAGCACTACGCCACTATGCAATCTGATTGGACTCATTGGTCTCCTGGACCACCGTGGCCTGCACAACAGCCGGTACCGCCACTGGCGCACCAACAGTGACCGGTGCAGCCCCGGCATAGGCTGGTGGACCGGCATAGCTGGGTGGAGCCCCATAGGCGGCGGATGATTTGCACTCCCCGTTCAGCATCATTTTGCGCTTCGTGATTGCCTGAACGATCCCGGCGATTGCCATGACAAGCAGGACGAAGCGGAGGTAGTGAAGCCACGTGAAATTATCGATGAACTCGATCATCTCAATTGCTGTATCCCAATCCACGTTCGGGTCGTTCAGTATCGAATCGATGGCTGCATCAGGCGATCCTGCCACACCATCCAGCAGGAACACGATGTAAAACGGGCAGTCCATCATCGCCGGATTACCTCCACACTGTTGGCACATGCAGCCGGCAGGAACATCGGGCATCTCGGGTCCACAGAAGCAGGGCGCACAGCATCGGGAGCAGCAGGTAAGCCAGAATACGATGAAGATGCCTAGCATGACCACCGTAACACTCGGGTTCAAGACGTCGTACGGAATCTCATAGTCTTGCTGTAGAAAGTCGACCACGATGTTGACAAGGGTGATCACAATATAGGCAAACAAGGAGATGATGATGAAGAGCTGCAGGGTCGGGCTGGAGCCAAGGTCGTTGCAGCACTTGCCCATGGCTGCAGTGCCGGCAAGAAGGGGCTCAGGAAACCGAGTGTTGGCTTCTGGTCCGCAACAACTCTTGAGCCGTAGCCATGGTTCAGGGTTTAGGGTTGAGCTGGCTCAGTGTTGAAGGATGGAGCAGGGTTTGGATGAGCTGGCTCCACAGACAGACATGACAGCCTTCGGCATGCTGCATTGCAGACGGTTGCCGGAATTTCTGACCCACCATACTGACTACAGTCTCGGTATAATATCTCGGAATCCTCCACCCCTACCCCTACCCTTCTCCCAACATAGACGCTGCGGGACAGCACGTCGAATTCAACAGCACAGCACTCCCCTGAATTCCATGCAGTCCTCTGTGCGCCCCTCCAGAAGCTTTGTCGACTCGCCCTCCAACCTTGCATGGTCTAGGGTTTAGGGCTTATGGTTTAGGGTCTAGGGTCAGAATACAGGGGCAATAATCATTGGAATAGGGTTTCGGGGGCCCATTATACCACAGCTATAATAAGAAACCCCTCCAAAATAGTATAGGTATTTATTTAGGCCCTAAACCCTAAACCCCCAAAATAGTATAGGTAATTGCTTGAAACACTATACTACCAGGGCGGGCCTTTATTTCGGGCTGAAAGGTAGAATTCACGCAGGCTGAACTCTTCCACTCTTTTGGTTTTGTCTGAGTCTGAGATGGCTCTACATGACGATGCAAGAGGCCTTTGGTTCCGAGTCTGTTCGGGCCGAGTTAAGCGAAAGAAGCCAAGTCAGCGAAGCCCCGGGGCCAAATGTCCGGACCATTTTCATTCCTCCGTGGATTGAAGGTTTACGGCTTCTTTTGGGCCTTGGCTTTCCAGTCGCTAAACCCTAAACCCTGAACCCCAAGTTCCCGGAGTTATATAAAGTTGGAAAAGAAGTGACGGCAAAAGCCAGGGACTCCAAAAAGAACCCCCCCCCCCCCCCGGTGCATACAAACACGGGCACTGAACCCAAAGAGAACTTCCTGCAGAAACTGCTGTGACGCGGCTCACGGACCAGTACTTCAAGCGTACACACACGCACAGAGCGCCTAAAACCCTGACACTGGGTGTGCGACTTAGTTTATTTAGGTTTCATCTGGGTACCCCGTCGCATGAGGGGTAAGCTTGAGGAAGGATCGAGGCTTCGCATGCCCAACACGCCGGGTTCAACATCCCGTGGTCTCATGGGACCCAGCATCCCTTAGCAATTGTATTGAATCTAAGTACTAGTGGGTTTCTTACAACAGAGAAATGACAAACTCAGATGGGATCCTGAATTCAAGGGTAGAGGAGTGTCTTGGATTCTTAAATCGTTCGAGCAGCTGCTTTGTGTCCTCAGGCGCCTCGAGTTTCTTGCGGTCCGGCTCCTCTGTTCCTGTGTGGCTTCTGTTCCTCTCTTTTTCAAAGGGTTTGGAATGAGGGCCTCTTCTGCACACAAGATGCCGAAGTGGTAGCAAAGACGGGCGAATCATGTCCAGCCAACGAACCTAAACTCCTGAAGTGCCGCGCCCCAACAACGCCACCACTAGCACCACCGGCACCGCCTCTGTTACTACTCCTGCTGTGCTGCCACTGCGACAGGTAGGCGTGCAACAGCTAGTACCAGCGATACTACGACGTTATAATGCGACGACGACCACCTCCAGGACGACATGCAAGAATACCATTGTGACATTTTACTGCCGCCACACTTGCCAAATTGATGTGGACTCTCACAACATCTCACAACCAAAAACCGCCTCTTCTGTTATCGACTCTGTAACTATCATAGCCTGGCCGGTCCGATGAGCGTCGTGGTTAACACTATGATCGTGATCTCGATGGTTGCAGCGATTGTGTCTACGAGCTCTGCCCTACCCTAGCCAAAGGCCCCAAAGTTGTTCCTTTTGGGGGTTCATATATAGAATCCTATAAGGTAATCCCAAGAAGGAACTACTATGGGGCCTCTGGGCAACTACTGCTACGAGACTGCTTTCGTGCGCCGGGTGTCTCGGCTCGTCCCTCGACCCCTCGGAGTCGTAACCAAAGCCCCACCTGCAGAAGCATGATTTGGTGGGCAGGTGGGCTCAGGCTTAGGCTTAGGGCTTATGGGCTAAAAGGGGCACCACAAGGTTTCCTATCATAGAAGAGCTGAATTGAAGGGTATTGCTTGCTGCTTCAGGAGCTCGATTCAGACCAGGCTTGGAGAAGAAGGGTCGCAGCAAAGTCCTTAGAATTTAGGGTTTAGGCTTTAGGATGTAGGGTTTAGGACTTTAGACCAAGCCTGCTGTTGCCTCCGTGAAGCTGGCAGGGAAATGAAGTAGGGCCTTTACCACCAATAAAACTCCCACATGTGTCCTCACACGGATTTCTAACAAGCTCTGTATACTCTCACCAAATCCCGAAGCAGAATAAATCAAATCCTACTCCTGCTGTACTTCATGTAGGTGTGGAAAAAGAAGTTTCCACCGATGGTATCCCGAAATCTTACCACGCTCCGAAGACCATATCTGCGTATTCCGAAATCTGCAAGCAAAGGTCCTATTGTCCCCCCTAAACCCTGATCCTTATCAGCCGTGTCCCCACATACGTAAACCCTAAACCCATGACCCCACAACATCCAAGCCTCCTCGAACCCTTTCGCCTCTCCTTGGCTGCATAAAGCGCAGGGAGGTGCCTTGGCTGGGGACTTTCGAGACCGTGAGTCTGGCAAGTTCTTGGGCGTTTCGGGATTAGGGATTAAGGTTTAGGGTTTCAGGGTTTAGGTTTTAGTAGGACCGAAGCCCCGCCCGCCTCCTTACGAAGCTCCAGGCTGAAAAGCAACACCGGCAACCCGAAGCTAGGCAACGCGTAGAATGGAAACTGAAACCAAGTTGCAACACCTATTCCGTCCTCGCAGTCCAAGATGGGAAGGTAGGTTTTGGAAAGGGACGAGCAACGGCAGCTTAAGGATTCATGTTGCTAACAGAGCAGGACTCCCTGGATCTACTGCGCCCCCATGATCCATCATGAAAACACGATTCCTTTGTGCTTCTCCCTGGGAGCTGACTATAAAGCAGAAGCCCAAAAGGAGCTGTGGCCAAAGGATTCTGCAATCCCTCAGTTACATTTCGTGAAACAAAGACTGAGAGCACCAGGAGCGGATCGGGTTAACGGTTAAGGCAATTGGTTAGAAGCTGCCCCCACTCTGTAATAGTGACCAAAAGGATTATACAGGAATATATTAGGGCCCTACTATATTCCTATTATACCACTATTACAGGGTGGGGGCAGCTTCTAAGCAATTGGTTTCAGGCGTTCAGGGTTTATATTGCTTCAGTTGCAAGCTTTGAGCTTTGGGTTGAGGACCTAAGTGGGTTAAACAACGACCTAATAACTTGCGCAGGGGTACTGATGTTGCCAGACCCACTTCACCAGCTCCGACTTCTCCGCGGCAGTTCCTCCACCCGTGTCCGTCGCGATTGGGCCAAGCTTTCGGAGGTTTACGCTCCCGTAACCCGGACATGCCAGGTTTTCAGAGGCTTAGGGCTTGGAGGGCTTTACGGCTTCGGAGCTTTCAAAGAGGTGTTCTTCGTCCACTCTACTTGGCAGTAGGCCCCTTCCTGACAGAAATCTGGGACCCCTGGACCAGATCCCTCGAGAAGCCAAGCTGCCAGATCAAGCACTTAAACAGCGAAGGCACGCAAAAAGGGCTTTAAGCGGAGCGACAAATGCAGCATGGATTTTGACCAAGCTGTAACGCGAGTTCTGGCTGTGATCGCAATGTGCCGTCGTTTCATGTTTTTTCTGAGCTTGCCGACGATTTGAATGAATAGCCAGCTGTCACTTATTAACCGTTCATGATGGATGCTTTTCGGAACAAGCAGTAGCGAGGAAGGATTAACCACCAATTACACCCGCCCCCCGCCCCAGGCACCACAGGCAATGGGGCCTTCGGGGACACCGCGCTCCGCAAGCCTGTGAAGCTCTGGAGTTCCAGTCTAACATCACTTGCCCAGCGGTCTTTGATCTCTGGTACATGCAGCCTGTGCCTGGAAGTAGTGGCAAAGACTTGCGACAAAGAACATCACAGAACATTGCAATCCCGGCCTGCAACTGAACCTTCCGAACCGAGTGAACGTGGGCATGCCGACAACCCTACTGTAGACCGTCCAATCCACAACACCTCATAGGTTTCACTTGCATGCTGTATGTACTGCACAATTCACTAAGCTATCTCCAGGCCGTTCAGCCATAAACATGTACAGATTGCTGTAATCAGAACAAACACTGAGAGAACCAATCCAAGACGCATGTCTTTCAGCTCCGCCACCGACTTCTGCTGCAGCTCGAGCATGCTCCAGGATTGCTTCCTGCTGTCTTCCAGGACAGTTGAAGGGCAAGCAGGGGTTTAGGGTTTAGGGTCACAGTTGGGGTTCAGACTTTATGAACTTCTGCTGCAGGGCATGCTGCGCTAGCGACTTCGACTCGCACACTCGCTCAATGCAGGCAGGGTTTCCAGAGGTCTCCACCATTGCCACAGTAACCAGTGGACCAGGAAAGATCAGTGGGCTGTGAGGATAGTAATCAACAAAGAACCAAGACAAACACAGGATGCACAGCGGCATATAGTATACATCTGATCTCGCCTGATGCCACAACTCTACGACTGAAACTTCCGACTGCGTAATGCTTGCCCTCTTGAGGTTTCAGGGTCGCACGCAGACGCATGAAAAGGCTTGCCGAAAACCAGCGCCCAAACGCCGGCCTCATGCAAAAGCGACGTACATAATCATCACAAGCAAAAACACAGTAACAACTATACTACCAATACTACTACTAATCATAACATCAATCACCACAGCAATACCTCATGCACGTACATCGCAATATACATGGCAAGGGCTCGCACCAAGCGTACGGAAAGCCTCTGCCTCTGGCCAACGTGAGCTAGCACTGGCTTCAGCCATTCATTCGACCTACTTACATACCCACATAATTGGATTCTGGAATAATATAGGGGCCTTACTAATTAGAATAGGGTTTTGGGGCCCCCTGTTCTACAAGTATCATAAAGAAACCCCCCGAAATAGTATGGCTAATCATTATAAGGCCCCTATATTAATTGGATTCTGTATGCAATATGCTTGCACCAGGATGGATAACCTTGGTCGAATGATTTGCTGTCGGTATGGAAGTTTCGGAAATAGGGGACCCTAAATATAGCACCCTAAATAGCAGGATCCTTATTATAAGGACCCCAAAATAAGGTACCCCTGAACCCTAGGCCCTATAGATCCCCTATAGAACCCTTAAAGGAACCCTAGGACCCTAAAATAGGGTACACCTAATTTTCTGAAACTCTCGGTATAGCTCACAGCCCGGGTTGGTCTTGGACCATGACCGGCTGCTGTGATCTGAAAAGCCAGACCCACTTGGAGGATCATGGGTAGCTATAAGAGGGGTTGTAATAATTCCCCTACTATGGTTTATGAAAAAACAAGTATGGTTACCCTACTTATGACCCCACATATAAGTACCCATGAACCTCCAAGCAATCCTGCACTGGCACTTTCTCGTGCGCCGGCTGGCGTTACTGCACAAGGCCAGCGGCCGAATGGCCCGTCCGAAGCCGTCAGCACGGGAGCCGGTAGAGCCGGGGCGGGCGTGACCGCTGCGAGGCCCAGGCAATCCAGGCGTTGAGCACTGGAGGTCGAATGATCTGCTCAACGCCCGCCCGGGTCGACCAGCCGGCCGTCTGCTGTGATCCATCTCGTTGGACGAGCTGGAGCTGTGGCCTGCAATGCCTGCAAGCTCACTCCTAGCAGCGGCTCTTGTCGGCGGCGCTTGCAGAATCGACTGAAGCAAAAACCAATGGCACAGCAGCTGAACAATGCCGCGAACGAAATAGCAGCGATGGTGGCGGGGTGCGGATCCCGTGGTGGTGGCGGTGGTGATGGTGGTGATGGTGGTGATGGTGATGGTATGTGATGGTGGTGGTGGTGGGGCTGGCTTCACCAAAATCGGGTAGACCGGCCCTGAGAGAATCCCACACTCACCTGTGCCACTGACACCCCGTTGGAGACGGCCGAAGCCAGCTTCTCCCCACAGGATGCCCCACGAGTTCTTGATGATCCAGTACGGCGTTCCTTGATCGGTTCCGTAGCCAACGAGGAGGACTGCGTGGTTAATCAAGATACCACAGTCTGGACCAATGATTCCACCTTCGTACAGCTGGAACACCTCACTATGCCCATTGATGTTGACAGCAACCGGCTGTTGGGTCACTGCCTGCATCAGTGCATAGTCGTAGTGCTCAACAAGAAACGCCCCAAGCACTTTTGTTGGGGGGATCACCTGGGTACAGTTGGAGGCTTGGCATGTCCCTTTGAACCCCTTGTAGCTGTAGTCCTGAGCCCTGCAGAGCCCTTCGTCCTCGATGTATTTAATCGCTCTCTTCGTCCATCCGCCCTTGCATCCACTGTTTCCATAATCTTCGTCAGCACAGTCCAAAAGCTGCTGGGTCGACAGGACGTAGAGTGCTCCGCCGAACACCTTCCAGGCGCCTTCCAGCGCACCCGCTGTGGCAAAGGTCCAACAGGAACCGCATTTCCCCTGATTCTGGACAGCCGACACGGCACCCTCTCTGCGCCAGTCGACCGAACTTGGAGCTGCCGTGGATCGGCGAAGCGAGTGGTCGTTGACTTCTTCCAAGCCTCCCCAAATTTCAGAGATGCTGGCATTCATGTACTTTGCCGACATACCGTAAGTGGACCGAAACTCATCCGGACTCAGGTCGGCGAAAGGCGTGACTCCCACAGTGTACTCGTGGTTCTCGCTGTTTCTCTTCTTGATCCACGCCAAGCGGTCGCAAAAGATATTCCTCCTTATCTCCTCCTCTTCCGGAGAGTCGTAGTGCTTTTCGAACTTTCGGACGAAAGATCCAAACTCATCCTCGCAAGTCCTTCCTACATCGTCGACTTTCGTGGGCCGCAGGCTCGGAGTGGAGGTTGTGGACATAGTCCCATCCTGCTCACCGGACGCACACATGTGGCAGATGGCCAGGATTGCCGCAACACCCTGCATGGCCGCTCCACTCCCGAGCGGCGACGTCTGGAAGCTTTGAGAGTTTAACTGGAAAACGAATTGAGTCGTAGCGACTTAGTTCGATTGAACGCATAACATCGCATAACCTGAAGTTCCGAAGGGATGCCTTGATACAGGACAGCCGGCAAAAGCAGTCAGGCATAGTGGCATAGTGAGTGGCGTTGATGTGATAGTTGACCATTTCCAGCAGTGCTCAAAGGTGCTGCATTTCGAGCTATGATTAACATGATGTTTAGTCTTTCGGCTAGAACTTTCTTTGTCAAAAGTCCTCGATGCGTCCGGCCGCGCCGCCGGCCGAGAAATCACCGGCAAATGCTGATGCTGATGTACCTCACGCGCCCCTCGCCACACAACATGGCACGTTGAGACGCCGTAATTAGAGGTTGAAAGTTCATCTGTGCAGAGCACCTCGTTGGCGACAAATCGGACTGGCTTGGGAAACACCTTTGATCCTTGCAGCCAGTTTAAGGTGCTGTGAACAAGCCGGGCCCACAAGGAAACACCCGTCATCACGCCTCTAAGCTTCAATCCCCCGATCCCGAAGCGGTATTGCGAAACGTCCAAGGCACCCATTTTGCCAGGTCATCCTTTTCCTGATCGACTTAGGGACGTAGTAGGGATTCGGGTGACCTGGCAGAAACCGACTCGGTGAAGGGCTTCGCTACAAAATAGATCAAAGATCCTTGAAGGCAACTTGTGTGCCCAGTATGCGGGGTATGCCGGGCAATGAGTTTGGGGCCTTGCATGTGAATCCTCAGCGCCCAAACCTCTCACCTCAAAAACCGTGTTAGGCACTACATCCTCAAACTTACAACCACAAGCCCTAGGTGGGTGGCCATCTTCAAAAGCCCGTGGACCTGAAAGCCCCAAGTGCAAGTCCCCATGCCGACCCAAAACGACTACAAGTGATTGAACAACTTGCAAGGTTTCGACTAATCCTCATGAGTTTGGGCTTGTGTTCACGCAAAGCGAGATCTGCTTGTTTGTTTGTCTTTCGCATGGCAGCCAGTCGCTTTGCATGGGGTTTGAAGGTCTAGGCCTAGGCGGCTCCGGACACCGGAACATCCACACGGTGTCACAGGTGCACTCGTCGCGAGGTGCAAGCATAGGGGGGCTGGAAAAGCTGACGCCCTGCACGTATAGCTTACTTGGTTAAGCCAACCATGTACCCAACAAGTTGTGTTGCCGCACAGCTGCTGTCGCCGAGTGCCCGGACACCCCGCGTTCAGCCAACATCCGGTTCAACTCACCTGGGTATGTCGGCATTTATCATGCTGAGGGGTTGCGCCATATGCCTGACCGTCGCCCGACTGTCCGGGTGACAGGAACTGACAGCGACAATTTGAGACAATGTTCAATTATACGCAAGACGGCTATCGAAGTGATGGCCTGTCAGCAGCAGAAGCAGCATGTAACACGTCTTACGGCTGCCGTTTGCAGACTTATATATGAAGATGCACATCATCATTGTCACCTTCATATCTTTATGCAACCGCCGGCAGCAGCAGCAGCAGCAGCAGCAGCAGCAGCAGCACCACCACCGGCACCAAACAACCGACACCGCTATCATCATAGCACAAAGCACAGTCGTCACGACCACCTGTGCAGTCGTCACCGCCGACACCATGCCCATTAACATAATCACCATCACCACCATCTCCACCACCACCATCCCTGTTATCACCAGCATCAAGGTCGTCATCATCATCATCATCATCACAATCTCCGTCGTCATCGCCATCACACCCATCATGCAGCCAACTTGCAAGTTGACTTGCGGGAACTGTCCATAAACACAATACTGCGAACAAACGTACATGCGTCGCGAAAGCAAGCCGGATTCCAGATCCCCTACTCCCCTGAACCAGACATTCCATGATCCTGCTGAGATGCTGGTGGACAGCTGTTGCAGTTCCGCCAGAGACTGACCTAGACCATCCAAAAGTATGGGGGTTTCCGAAAATCAGAGGTACCTTATTTTGGGGTCCTTGTAATAAGTATCCTACTATTTATAGGGTACTATATTAGGGTCCGCTATTTTCGGAAACTCCCGTATAGCCTTCAGGGATCAAGGCCCGGGTTGAGCATCCGTCAGTACGAGAGGCTTCACATTGACATATCGGGAGTCAAGAGAAATATGCGGACGGTCTCTGAACACGAGGAAACTGCCTCAATTCTAATATTAATACCCTTGAAACTTGCCGCCGGGAAAGACTAGATGTCGTGCAATCGAGGCCATGACCGATTGATATGCTTCTGGCTTGATTTAGCGTTCGGGCTGTAGAGCTAAACCGAATCTTTCAAAGAGCCACAATTGGTCTGGGTTTCGACTCGCACACTCGCTCTCGCAGGCACGGCTCCAGGGTCTCCACTGGGTTTAAGGTTGAGGCCGACAGTGTCACCCTGAAAACCTAGGGCTTGAGGTTTGGAGCCCGGCGACTCCGGAAATCCATTCGTGAAGAAAAGCGCCGTATTGAGCTAAAAGCGGAGGTGCTTAACAAGAGATTCCTCAATTGACGGACATGGGCAACATATCGCCTGCTGTCTAGAGCACCCTGACGGGGTGACTGTTGTCAGTATTGCTTGTCGGGCTATCATTCTGAGTACTTCGCTCTGACTGCTGAGCCCCAGCACCAACTGACTACTTACTGAACTTGGCAGTCCCGTCGCACCTGGGTGTTTTATACCGCAAACTGCAAACTCTTTCGCGTCAAGAACAATATGCCAATTAGCCGGGATACTGCGCGCCATCGCCGGCGCGGGTGCAGTGGCAGTCGCAGTTGCGGCTGGAGCATACGAAGCCGGCTTTGGCGTCGTGCTATGGATCACCTGTTCCGACAAGTTTGAACGGTCCTTTGAAGGACTTGAACTGAAGGGTTCAGATTTGGCAGCCTTGGGGTTCTTACGGCTTGGGATTTGGGATTGGGTGAACTTATCAGGAGGGTTTGGAGCTTCTTTCCTCGAAGCCCATGATGAAGGACGAATGGGATTTACGAGAAAAACCCCCCTTGTGCTGCGTTAGCTGTCTGGCTTACAGAGTCTATCACTGCAGGTCGTAGCTAAGACAGTTCTTACTAGGTGTCTGTCGATTTCAACCCGACCTCGAAATCATCGAACTATCCAGGGTTCCTTATTATGGTCTCTATGTAGAATTCCTCATAAAGGTTGGTCTTGGGGTATAGTGAGTAGAATAAGGTTTTGGAGCCCATTATATTATAATTCTAATTCTAACAAGGAACCCCCCAACCCCCATATTATATTACTCTTATAGATCGCTTATAGTAACCCTTATAGGCCCCTTCAAAAGGAACCCCTAGCTCAACCCTATAGTCGTGTAGAGTCAAGAACTCAGAGTCGAGTCCGGGAAGCTTCTCGGGTTTCAGGACCGGCGATCACGATGAGAACATCTGAATCTGGATTCTTCTTGAGGGATTTAATATGAAGTACCGTAAGTATAGACATCCCTAAACCCTCAACCCCTCTATGGTAACTTAGAAGAAATCCCCAACAAGAACCCAGAGAAGTTTGCCGATCCTTCCCTTCGCGGCCTGGGACAAGATCGGCGAAGTCGGTGCGTATGCTGTGCCAGTTCCGCTGCCCTTGAGAACACCAGAGCTCCTCAGGCAAACATGAGGCAAAAGTAGCAGCGGCATCTCGCCTCGCGATATACAGTGAGCGGGGTGAGAAAACAGCTTACAAGCCTTGAGAAGTCGCAACATGGCCTGCTCAGAGCTGGAAAACAACTGGACATGCGCATCTTGACTCAGAATCTCAAGGCCAAGGTGCACCCCTGTGGCAAAGGAACTCAGATCGTTTCCAATGCCTGCAAGCACAGACTCCGTTTTGACATGGTAGCATGCTGGGCTTTGTTTGGGCCAGAGAGGGAGCGCGCACCAGTTGCTAGTTGCGACTCCTTGACCGTCTTACCCCGGAATGTCGCAACCTCAAGCCTTCCTAAACTCATAAGGACCCCTAGGCGGAGGGGTAGGGGGGAGGGGGGTAGGTGCCTTAATACCCAAAATAAGGACTTGTCAGGCCAAGGAAGTGTAGATAAACCTACCCAAGCTCCGAGTTCACCTGGCTCCCCTCGCCTGTCGTCACCTTCCCCAACTCTTTGGCCTTGCTTTGGAGAGGCGCTACAGGCGCCTGGCAAGCGAAGGACCGTAATGTACGCGGCATTTTTGGCGCCTAAAATCCCTAAAACATTCTGAACCCCAAGGCCCAAGTAGAGCTCAGCATTGGGGATGGCATTTCGGAGTTTCCGAAAATTAGGGGGTACCTTTTTTTGGGGGTACTATATTAGGGCCCCTATTTTCGGAAACTCCTATTTGCTGGGAGGCCAAGGATCCCACCCCGAAGCCACGCCTCCTTCGCACGTGCCAAAGCATTGGCCCTGGGGCCGGCGTCCCGTGCAAAGCGATGGAGCACTCGGCGCATGAAGACTCGGATTGTGTCGGGCTTTAATAATTAGAATAGCATTTGGGGGCCCATTATGCTATGATTCTAGTAAGGACCCCCGACGATGGTATTGGTAATTATTTAGGCCCCTATAATACTTCGAGCTTCCTGCTGTTGGACATAAGCTGGCATCTGGCTGACTATTCAAACATGTTTCCACATGCAGAGTAAAGTAAGCTGGCTTCGCCTTTGCTGTGTATTGGTTCCGACATGTCCTCGCCCAGGTTTGGGCGCCAGCTGTCTTACTAACCCAATCTGCTTGACGCAAGGGACATGTGTTTTGGAGCCTCAGGCTTTGCACCAGCACTGCCGCACTCTAAGTTTGCACAAGCGCACCCTGAAGCACCCACATATACGCGTGCATACATGCATGCGCGCAGAAACATACCCACAAACAGACACACACACACACAGAGACACACATACACAGACACACACACACACATGCACATGCATATATACACGCATACCTTCACACATGCGTGCATGCAAGAAGCCATCACACATGCATTCAACACGAA